AAGGAGATCAGCGAAGATCCGTGCTTTCTCTCCACCATGATGTAGCTCGAATGGTGTGACGCAGATCGCCGAGTGCACCGAAGTGTTATAGGCGAACTCGATGACGGGAAGCCGGTCAACCCAATCTTTCTGGTCGGGACGGATGAGCGTACGCAACATCATCTGAGCGGTCTGGTGCGCTCGCTCCGTCTGGCCATCCGTCTGCGGGTGCCGAGCCGAGCTCGGCTTCATTGTCGTACCGGACTCAGCCATGAGGGAAGTCCAAAAGGCTGACATGAAGCGAGTATCTCGGTCGCTCACTATGTCTTCCGGAACACCCTGGTTGGTAATCCAACCGATGTGCAAGAGTCGTGCGAACTCGGGTGCTGCAGCATGATACTTGCAAGGAAGGAAGCGAGCATACTTGCTCAAACGGTCAACAACCGTGAGAATACCATCATGGCCGTGGCGATCGCGGGGAAACGGGCCTGTCACGTCCATAGCAATGGAGAGGCGTGGTGCCTGAGGGATCGGCAACGGTTTTAGATCGCCGAAGGGGACTCGAGATCGACCCTTGTTACGGTGGCAAACTGCACATGACTCGATGTACCTCGTGACGTCGTGAAGGACGTCGGGCCAATGAAAACGCTGGCGGAGGCGTGCTAGTGTGCGGTTCACGCCAAGGTGGGCCGAAAGTCGTGCGTCGTGGAATTCGCCGAGAAGACGAGTTCGTAAGATGCGATCTTGGGGCACAACGAACAAGTCCTTTCCTCTCGTGTGAAGGAGAAGGAACCCGTCTGCAATCTGATAGTGGCTAGCCGGCGGGTGATCCGAAGAAAGCTCCGCGTAGAGCGTAGAGTAAGTCGGATCAGACTTGTAGCCTTTGACGAAATGCGGTTACAGATCGTCATCGAGGTCGAATGCCGTGGTCACAATGGCACAAAAGTTGGGCCGTCGTGAGAGGGCGTCCGCAGCTCGATTGGCGGGACCGGGAATGTGGCACGGGTCAAAGTCGAACTGGTCGATGTAATACATCCATCGACCAATCGTACTAGTGACCGTGTCCTGCGTTTTGTAAAATGTCAACGGATTGTTATCCGTATTCCATTTAAAACGCCGACGACCGAGAAGAAAGTGGCGCCACCGTTTGAGAACGGTGACGAACGCGAGTAGCTCTTTCTTCCTAGCGTCGTCGAGAGTGTTTACGAGAGGCACCTTTTGGGAGAAATACTCGACCGGATGCCAACCGTCCTCGTGACACTGTTCCAACACCGCACCAATCCCGTATCCCGAAGCGTCCGTAGTCACTTGGGTGGGTAGGGTGGGGTCGTATATACGGAGGGCAGGTGCGGCTTGCATCGCTGCCTTCAACATAGTGAACGCGCCACGGGCTGCTATAGACCAGCCTTCAACATAGTGAACTCGAAGGGCACCTTCGGGGACTGAAGTCTCGACAAGGGAGCTGCCACTTTTGAGTATGACTCGACGAATCGCTGATAATATCCAGCCAATCCCATGAAAGAGCGTACGTCCGTAGTGCAACGGGGTTCCGGCCAATCCACGATGGCTTGGATCTTGTCGGCTAAGGGACGAATGCCTTTTGACGTAACATAGTGGCCCAAATACTCAAGCTCTTGCTTGGCGAACTCGCACTTGTCGTGGTTCGCTTTGTACTTGGCCAGTCGCAAACGATTCAAAACAGCGCAAAGGTGTGTGATGTGCTCGTCCAACGTCCTGCTATAGACCAAGATGTCATCGAGGTAGATGAGGACGCTGCGATCGAGCAAGTCGTGAAACTCAGTCGTCATAGCTGCTTGAAAAGTTGCGAGGGCATTGGTGAGGCCAAAAGGCATGACAACCCACTCAAAATGTCCGTACCGCGTCTTGAATGCGGTCTTGTACCGATCTTGAGGCTGGATTTCAATCTGGTGGTAACCTGACTTCAAGTCCAACTTCGAGAAGTACGTTGCGCTGCCTAACCGCTCAAGGAGATCATCAATCCGAGGGAGAGGGCCGGCGTTCTTTACTGTTTGTGCGTTAAGTTTGCGATAGTCGATGCATAACCGTAGATCTTTGTTCTTCTTCCGGACGAAGAGAACAGGTGCACCGTATGGCGAGCAACTAGGGCGAATCCAGTCCTTGTCGAGAAGGTCATCGAGTTGTGCGCGAAGCACCTCGAGTTCCTCTTCGCTCATGCGGTAGATACATCCACGCGGAGGGACGGCGCCCGCCTCGAGAGGATCCTGTGACATATGGGCCGATCCGGAACCGTTCCGGTGGGCGCCTCGAAGACGTCTCCATACTCGTCCAAGAGGTGAGTGATGCGTGGGTCCGGCGGTGACGCGGCTGGTCCGTCCGGCGAGGGGAGAGCATGCAAGAATACAAGGCCCATCTCCTCGACGTCATTCCGAGCCATCGCGTCGCGAATTCTCGCAACGGAAACCACGTGACAAGCAATCGAAGTGTGAGGGGTCGCGGCCGTACGTGGGACTAACACTCCGTTCCGATCACGGATGCGAACGGTTCGGTCATGGAAGTTCACCGGATGATCGGCGCTACGCAACCAAGACATGCCTAGAATCATGTCGAACTTGGTGTCGAGGATGTCAAAAGACACCGGCTCGCACGCAAGTGGCGCAAACTAGACCGGAACGCCGTCAACGCATCGGTTAATTGACTTTTGTGTGCGGCCGTCCGCGAGTGTAACTTGCGTAAGTTGCGTCTTCCTTCGAACGCGCGGGCCAAGACCTGCGCAAGCCATAAAGGCTTGGCTCATAAAGTTGCGAGACGCTCCGCAATCAATCAAGGCACTACAGGTTGCCTTTCCGATTTGAATGCGGATATAGAGCAAAGGTGCGTCGGTTTCGGCGTACCTTTGGGTGGCGTACTCGCGGTCAATCTTCGCAAGATAGGAGCGGAGATCGACAACCGCTACTTCGTCGTCCGTCAACGGAGCTGGTACTGTAGCGTGCAAAAACAAGAGCGTAGAGTTGCCATCAAGGCGTTGCGATGCGGCCTTGGCAAGGTTCCGGTCGAGGATAGAGGCATCCAAGCGAAGTCCTCTCTCGTGAGCGGGTCAAGCTCCTCAAGTCTTGACCATGCCGTCGAGTCCTCGGAAATCACTGGCGAACTAACCGGATCACTTGCCGACGGTGTACAGGCTGCGCATACGCAATCGAAGTGCACGTGGCTTGGCTGGTCTAGTGGTGGTACCAGCTGGGTGGCATAATCCTTGTATGTGGCACAAGAATCAGCGACTAACACATGCTCCCTGGTAGTGACATCGATTGCTAGCTAGGCAACCGGTTCCAGCGGAGTGAGGAGAGACGTCGCCCCTCTCCTTGCGTAACTCAGTTTCCCGAGTTTGCTGGACGGGATACGCGTGTCTTGCCCTTTTCGGGGCATTGTGCGGTCAAATGCATGACGTCGTTGCACCAAAGGCAGTATCCGTACTTTTGACGGAGGTCGTAGACATCCTTGGTTATCTTGTAAGCCGTCCATGGTTGCGGCCCAGTTCCCGTCGATGTCGTCTCTTGTGTCGCCTTATTCTTCCGAACTCTCTTGGGATGCTTCGGCGGGAGCACTGCTACAATTCCTCCATCACTCGAGGATGCTGCTGCAGCGTGGAGATCGTCTGTTTCTTCCGAAATCATGGCATTGTTATGTGTCGGACGTTGATAGCTATGCTTAGCCACATAATGCGGCTGGGACTGCCGTTCGTTTGCGGTCTTGTCATCCGTTTGGATGACCAAGTTTGCACGATCCAGAATGACCTGGAATGAATCGTAATCGTACTCATTGCCGAGTGCCGATCGCAGTCCTGCGCACGATCGCGAGAAGAACTCGAATCGTTGATTGGTAAAACTCAAATCGATGCCTGGCGTGGTCACTATCTTCTGCCACTTGGTTGTCCAGTCTCGAGTTGGCATATTCCCTTGAAAGCAGGTATACACTTCGTTCATGGCCGCCTTCACGACGTTGCGGACCATGAAACGGGTGAACCATAGCTTCTCGAAATCCTTCCACGTAATGTGCGTGTGAAGTTCAAAGATGGTGCATGTGTGGGTAGCCGCCAGATGGTTCATCCATGCCTGCGCTCCTCCAATCAGCTGTAAGTATAACACCTTCATCAGATAGTCGTCCGGGACAGTGCGGCATGATGCTTCTGTGAGGAAACGTTGCCACCATGCCAAAGCGTCCGTCTTGTTGTGGTCGTTGAACTTGCTGATGTCGAAGTGCGGCATCTTGTAGTTCTTCGTAGTGGCGTCCGGTCTCGTTTGCAGCTTGGTGATGTCCGTCTTGATGGCGGCCACCGTGCTACTGATCATGTCCGGCCCATTGAAAACACCTATGTCACCGATGAGATTGACGACGTGATCGATGCGCCCATTGAGCTGCTTCGTCTCGTCTGTCGTGCAGCCTGGCGCTGCTGAGGTCTTAGCCTCGATGCTGCTGACGCGTGCGGTGGTGGTGTTCAGCAGTTGTTGCTGATGTGTGGCGGTAGTGCGAACAGCAACTGATAAGGCTGCAGAATCCTTCTGCTGAATCTGTCGCAGCTGTCTGCCCTCGTGTATTTGCACCGCTAACATCGTATAACACCACATGATCGATCGCATCATCGTCAACATCACGTTAGCCAGGCGAGTCCTCTCTGCCTCCGCCGAAGTTGGATCTGCCTGCTCTTCCGAAGGCACAAAGATCATGCCTTCGAGGATCGTTGTCCACTGATTCTCATTACGAATCAGGGATTCCATGCTGGCGGCATTCCGTTGGTCTCGTGCCGCTGCGTCGGCCTCAGCCGTCTGCTGAGCTTGGGCTGCTGCCTCATTGGCCAGCCGCTGACGTTCTGCCTCTGCTGCCTCCTGCTGAGCCTTGGCGGCAGCTACGGCATCTGTAAATACCTGTAGCCGCCCAAGATAGTCAGCCAACGGCTCACTGGCCCCTCGGACCGGGCATGCGGGAAGAACTCCGGTGATGTCTGGTACCGTCAATGCTGTACTTGATGCTGCTGGAGTCTTCCGCTTGCTGAGTCTCTTGGGTCTTGGAGGTACCGCAGGGCGGGCACAAACTGTGAGCCTGGCACTGTGCCGTGGCAGTGCCCCGGTGTCCTATTCCATCGACATCAGTGTGAACTGGTGCGGTACTTGAGAGGTCCCGGTGGTCACAGAATACGGGGAAGGTAAAGAGAGTGGAAACAGGGGTAGAACAACCATACAATGCACATACAGTCCCCTGTCCCACTGATGGACTGTAGACACCTAATCAAAACAGAAATATAAATTCCCGTAAACAATTCAATAATTCATAATAAGAATTAGAATTAACGAATTATTTAATCAATAAAACTTATTTAATGATAAATAACGAAATAATAATTCTTAATGATCATCAATAAACAATGTTTGTTATAAAGATAATCCGCAATAAACAATTTTGCAATAATGATAATAAACGAATTTGAATTTTATCAAGATTAGGTATCCGTTGAGATCATCTTTAGTCCGGGAGTTCACCGTTAATGAGTGAACTACCCGGAAGTTGCAACTTGAGGGTCAGATTCGGACTAGTATGCCAATTTTTTTTAATTTTTTTTTTCCGGAAAAAGTCAGGGAAAAACACTCGAATTTTCGCAAACGTGAATTTTTGGGAATTTCCACCGTCAAAATCCGATTTTTAAC